CAGTGCTCACAACTAGCCGGGAGGCAAGACTGCCCGACTGTCAGGTAAATTCAAACGTCCCTTCTCTCCCCACCCGGCTGCATGTCAGAGCCGTAGACCCCAAGCCTGCCTTCTCCACACCATAACTGCCTATACATAATTACATTTGCCACACTTTCTTTCACATGGGCAACGCAAACACACATTGGATACTGGAGGTTGGATGTACCTGATGGAAATCTAAGAGCAGAGTTTAGTTTCCTGGCCACTAGGGGGACTCAAGGCCGCATTCAGGTCCCTGGTGTGAGTAAATATTTGCATTACTCCAGGGTTCCATTACGTTCCAAAACAGAAAACCTGGAATTGTGAGGGTGTTCGGCTTGCTGCTTCTTTCCTTTGTTTTTTGTTCTTAGAATATATTTCTCAGGCAAATAGGAAGGATATAAAGCCTATCTAATGTCCGTTCTAAGACAACTTCATGAAAGTGTTTCTGTTTTCTGTCCATTCAGGGCCCTCATTAAAAAACAATTTGAAAGGTGGAGAAAAACTTGTACTTGGCATTTCAAAAAGGACATTTGCAGTGACAGAGCCCTTCGCTTGGGATTAACTGAACACATTTAGGCAGGTTCACGTACTTCCTGGGCACTCAACTAGAGAGTTCGCTGACAGTTTCTACACCAGCGAAGCTTTGCCTGCCCTTCATCAGCTGTCTCATCCCAGGGGACTCCCACACAGCTCCCCACCGGGGCCTCGTCCTCCTCCCGTAATGTGTCACCCCGTTATTTGGCACTCTGATGGGGCCAGGTTTGTGTAGTCTGGTGTGGCTCTTATAGCTGCTTGTCGTTCCCTCTTCTGCCACCAGGCAAGGCTTCTTTGGAGCAGGGGCGGGACTCAGCACACTTTTCCACGCGTGTCTGAGGAGTAGTGTCAGCCGCAGGCTGCAGTGGCCGTGGCTCAGCTGGAGTGCTGGGAGGTCATCATGTTGCCCAGAAACAGTGGCACCCGAAGCCCCAGTGACTTGGTCTCAGAGGCAGTTGTGCAGCTTGTTGTCTGAGATGTTACGTTACCAGGGAGAGGGACATGATTCAACAGGAACTACACCAGTGTCTCCTGACTGGTCTCTCAGCCTGCCACCCCCACCACTTCCAGCAGCTGGGTGTTTACTTCAGGAAAGTTCTTCCCAAACATGCAAAGGCCAGTAGTCTGCAGTAGCTATCTTAGACTAATTTCGTTATGTAAGGAAATGCAATTTTAAATGTTCCAACCCATCTCGGTGGATTATCTATCTGTGTAGAGTGGTGAAGAATGCGGGCTTTTAACCTGCGGTTTATTCTTGGCCAAGCACCCACAACCCAGGGCTTGGGCCAGTGCACCAGTAACCATTGCTCCCAGGAATGAATGAAGGAGCTTTGAGCTCAGATTGCTTGCGTTGGGATTCCATCTCAAACCCATACAGTTGTGCATTTTTGGAAAGTTACTTCTGGCTGAGTTCTATCTGTTATAAAGTAAGGGTGAGAATGAGGTATAGGCCTGGCCCATAGCATGCTCTTGATATCTGTTACTGCTGTGACCGTGATTAGTACCTAACCTTCCCTCAAGACAGCGACCTGCCGTCTCCTACATAACCTCCCAAATTTGCTTGGGCACAAGGTAGAGAAGGCTAGTGGGGAATGTTTCCAACTTTAATTTTATTTCACCTTCCCCTTTTTTTGAGAACTAGTTTGACTAAATGGTTACCTATCCCAGTTCCATATTTTTTTGAAATTGCTGAATTTAGATTGCTTGCTACCTCCACACAAATGTTTTACTTTTTTTTTTTTAAAGCAGCTTAATGAATTACAGATGTTTCTAGTTTCTGCCCACATGAATCCAGCAGGCACCAGAGTAGGCTTCCACTGCCCCTCCTGGTGGTCCACGCAGAGAAGTGATAAAATGCTTGCGGACCTTGAAAGACGGCCCTTTTCAAAGGCGCTGGAGTGGCGGCTGACTTCCTTCCCACCCATGCCCACTGCCAGATGGGTCGGACTGCACGTTCTCACTGCCCTTTTAACTTTTTTCTGGCAGAAAACTTAACATATAGCCAGCCTTTGGATTACTGCCGTACATAAGTGTTACATTTTTTGACACCAGTTATTCACTACAATCCCCATAAGGCAAGCACCCAATCGAAAATGAGGAGAGTGATGTGGGGGGCGTAAAATGATTTGTCCAGGGTCGCCCATCCTGGAAGTGGCTGAGCCCGTGCTCCTGACCACCACCATGCGCCTCACCCCTTTTAGTTCTGCTGGGAGGGGCCAGGTCAGAGGACACTTAAATCACCCATGTGGACTCTGTCCCCAAATTGAAGGGGAACATTTGTTTAATGAGAAGCAAAACGTGTGAAGAATGTTCAGTGATTTCAGATCAGGTGTTTTTCTACTTCTCTTTGTCACTTTAAAATATGCTTATACTTCCTACAGCTTATACATATTCTTCTGATAACTATTAAGGTATATGGTTTTGAATAAAAGAGAATTTTCTCATATTCAACAATACAGAACTTTCTAGATATTCTGTTTTACAGACTGATTCTGTTGTAGAGCTAACTTACTAAAAAATTGTTTATGGATAAAAGAAACCATAATATGAAAGTGATGCCCCAGGTAAAGGTTACAGCATTGGATGTGGTTTTTAAACACACGGAGAAACTTGGTATTTAGCACTTTTCTCCAAGAACTTGCTTCCTTGGGGGGGAAGAAACTTTTCTGAAGATATATTTACTTCTGTATCTTAGTAATAGTTCCTAGGACTACATTCACAACACGGTTTCACCTACATAAAATTAAGTCTTATATGGTAAAGGTTGGATAATAAATGAGCTCCCAAAGATATTTAGCAATCAGAATTGAAGGTGAATTCTTCCTATAGCTGAAGGGATTGAAACATATCAAATATTTACATTTAAGAAATAATTTAATTCGTAAGCCAAAAACATGCTTCTGACACACACATATATATAATGTGATTGCATTCATGCAAACTTAGAATAGTAATACTGTAAAACCGACTATTTATAATCTCACCCTAAGTGATCTGAAATAATGGAAACATTATTTTTAATAGTATACTTCTCCAGTACAGTGGACATCATTTTATTAGTGTCAGGTGTGCAGCACAGGGGTGTGAAGCGATTCTGCCCAACCCCCGATAAGTCCGGTACCACCTGGCAACACACACAGTTATCACAATAATATTTACTACATCTTCTGTGCTGTACTTTACATCCTCGTGACTGTTTTGTAACTGCCAATTTGTACTTCATAATCCCTTCATCTTGAAAAAAAATTTCAATTATCATGGATGGCATCATGCAAGGTTGGGCCTGTTGAGCTGTAGCCCGTCTTTAAGCTGTTACTGCACACTTCAGCTGGCCAGGCAGAAAGGTTATCTCCCTTTTTCCTGAAAATATTGATCTCCACAGGGTCTTCAAAAATGTATCACTCTTGTGCTACTTGCCATGATGGTAAATAACATGTTTGGTCCCCTAAAAAGAAACTTACTCTGAATCCTGCCGATTTAACAGGAGACTCCGTGGGGTCCATGGGAGCATCTGTCCGCTGCTGTGTGTCCAGGGCCATCTGAGTCTGGTGGTCAGAAAGAACCTTGCCGTGAATACTTTCAGTCCCCTTGACACTCCAGGTCTTCCATGTTTCCCTCCCATGCTTTTAAAACAGACAGGAAAAGTCGTTTTTATCGCTGGTTGTCCTAACTATGCAGAAAAATCATTTTATGACTGGTTGTCCTAACCGTACAGAAGAGCATCTCTCCTTTTAAGCTAAATTCATAGCAGTGCAAAGACTTTGGGAAGAGAGAGTGACCCCTCAAGCAGACCAGTATGTGGCATGATTCTGATGTCATATCAAAATTCTAGTATTCTGAGATGTGCATGAAAGATAATTTCCAAAGATTAATCAGTACCAAAGATTAAATTTGTTTAATGATAATTCTGCATGACTTCATGCAGAAGCTTAAAAACTATAAAACCTATTAGCTTAAAATCTATATAAAATTAATAATAATAATTAAAAACCTTGAATAGTTTTCTCAAACATTACTCCTGTCAGAAGTGAATTCTGTGGCACTAAATTTCATACTATAAGGGGAAAAAGCAAAGTTATAGAGAAATGCCAATTTCTTCCAGTAATACAAATATCCCCATAATGGGATTATTTCCCCATTACATTTGAAAAGGCCTGAACCCAAATGTGATTTGTAGTGTTACCTGAGGAAATTCAATATTTGGTTTCCTTGTTCTTCAGGATTATTTCTCACGGCACTGATGTGCCTGAGTGTTTCTGAGTTTGTTTAAAGCAGAGGCTCTCAGACGTCTTTTGGAACTCTGCATTATGTACTTCACAGATAGGAAATGTTTTAAAACGCTTCAGTCTTATTTAAACTGCCAAGCTAAAGCAGATGAATGGAACCCTTGGAGCAAATTAGGATTCCAGTGGCAAATTGATGATCCTGCTGAATCTGACATACCAGAGAACTGAGTTAGAATGCTCTAGAGCCTTGGTCCAACGCCACCTGCATCCCCAGGAGCTTGCTAGAAATGCAGATTCCTAGGTGTGGCCCGGACCTATGGAACCAGAATCTGCATTTTACCTAGATCCCCAGGTGATTGGTGTACACATTAAGGTTTGAGAAGAACTGATCTAAAGAAACCTTGCAACTAACCCAGAGACCTAGGGGAATGGGACTGTGTAGAGAAATTGTGGGGGAGTGGGGGAAGCACTTGCGAGTTCACTTATTTCCCGAACACATTTTATTTTCCTTTTTTTGTGCGTGGTTTTGCAAAGCCGCAGTTGTCTAGGCATGCTTTAAATTTAAACCATTTTCCATGCAAAATTTCTGTTCATGGTTGTTTTGTTTTGTTTTGTTTTTTTTAGTTTCAGTGAGAATAATATGTCTGTCTAACCTTACAAGTGGCTTGGCCCCTGATCCGTGAGTTTCTCGCTGACACGCTTGTTTCTCGTTTTCAGTCCTGACCCAGCTCTCCCTGACGAGCAGCCGCAGTCCAGCTCCCAGTGCGCCCCCCTCCACTGTCTCTCCAAATCTCCTCACCCCTAGTCTCCACCTCCTGTGCACCAACCTCTGGGGCGAACGTTTCGTAGCCACACACAGGATACCGCCCAGGATCCAACCGGTGTTTTCTTCTCGGTCGTTAGGTGTATGATGGGAGCAATGCCCGTCACTTTGGAAGATGAAAGAAAGTTAAGAAGAATAACACAAAGCACAGACTCTGGCGTGATAAAACGTTTTATCGTTTGTCTAAGTCACAGATAAATTTCTGCAATGAAATGGCTATAGTTCAGTTGAATAATAAAAACAAAACTGGACACGTGTATCTCAGATGACTGGCTTTATCTCGATAACATGGAGAGACCTGAGACCGTGTAAAATACATATATCGTAAAACCATCTTTCCTCACCTGTCACATTCGGCTATAGAAGTTGATTCCAGTATTTTTCATCATCGATATTTATTTTGTACTTTATTTGGCACATGAGTTATGTTTATAAAAATAATTTCTGAGAGAGGTGAACTTCATTTATTTTTAAATAAGCATAATTTGCTCTGTTCAGTTTTAATTTAGTTCGAAATCTGGAATTGGTCAGACGGTGGTCGTTTTTCTTGCACAAAATAATAAATGAGGTGCATCGGAATGTTAACAATAACTGTATTTTGCTGCTACACTGATATTGTTTATGCACTTACCTTTCTAATCAGTAGCTAATTAAGTGCTGGATTTTTTTAAAACTAGGGTTCTTCACTGGACATTATTGAGTAAATCTAAGAAACAGACTATGTTACGATTCATTGACTTATTCAACTTTGATGGCATCTTTAATTTTTTTGAAAAATTGCAGGCAGGCAGATGCACTGGTGCTGCTCCTTTGTGTGTGTGTGTTGTGTGTGTGTGTGTGATGATAGAGGAGGCTAAATAACATGAAGGGAAAACATGGTGTGTTTATTTAATGACCAGACTTTTTTTTTTACTCCTCCCAAATTCAGGGCCCTATGAGAAGTCTTTCCTGCTAAAAGTTGTCAAGTATAAATGGGAAAATACATCCATAGACAGATGTAAGTTAGCCTTTGGTTAATGAATTTACTCAGAAAGTGTTCAACTTTTGATTACAATTGTGTGTTTTGTTGTTGTTAGTTTTTTTCATAATGAATTTTCCTTGCCAAAAAACAATACATAATAAACCTTAGCTCATTGTCTACTTTTGAGAAACACTCAGGTGCCTACAATCATATTATACATCTTGAAATATAATAGATGTTCCTAGTTCATTTCCAAACCCTGCTGGGTAACTCTCATGACTTGATTTAAGGCAGTCTCTTTTCATAGCAAAATTTATTTTGCACATAATCTGACAAACAAGGAAAACAGCTAATTGAGCTAAAAGGTCTAATACTCCGGGGCTCCTTAACGACCAAGAACTGCCCACACAATTGCTCCTAGCCCTGATTCCTTGTCTAGTCAGGTAGCCTTAACTTACTTAAAATCATAACAGTTTAACCTTTTCATGTAACAGTATCTGTAACTTCTCTTTAAAACAAAAACAATCCTCACTGTTAATACTGAAGATAGTTTACTAGACGGGGCTCTCACCACGAACATCTAGTAAGAGCCACTCAGCTCACGGAGTGGCAGTGGGTGGGACATAATGGCATGGTCCATCAGAGGTGGTGGCCAGGGGCTCAGTTGTAAAGCAAAGGGCGGGAGCTTTATCAGTCACATACCTATTAAGTACTGGTCACTGTTACCAAAGCAACCAAGAGGTTTTTAGTTTCTTATATGAGTGCTATTTTCAACAATGTCATTTATTATGCAACTTGAAGTAGTTAGAAATCTTTACCATAAGTAGGTATCCAGGTTTGAGAAAAACAAATCTTCATACAGTCTTGGTCATGGCAGCCTAACCTTCTATTCTTTCCTACCTACATGTCCTTGCTGTTCCTAAACGCTTGCTTCATTTTATTGGTGTTGTGTCTGCCCTGTACCAGTATTAGCAAGGCAGTGTGGATTATATTTAGAGTTCAATGAAAGGAGGCTACCCCCTACCCTTGCTCTTTCTTTTTTCTTTCCGTTATTTCTTTTCCAAGCATCATGTGTTTGGACCTGAGAAGTGGCATAGCTGCAAAGTTGACTTCTAATAAAAACTGTCTGTGCCTGAGGGAAAATACGCCATTGTTAAAAGTACCTGAGAACATCTTCCTGTGTTGCCTCATCAGTTGTGTTGGTGGTGCAGGGAATTCAGCAGCAAGTGTCGTTGCTGAGTCACTGCAGAGCAGCAACCCTGCTGGATGGGGCATAATTGCATTTTTGCTCCCTCCCTCTAGTGGTGACCCCGTGAAAGGCTGGGTCCCAAGCAACACATTTATTTCCTCCAATATAAAGTTTATGAAGTCTACTATATGCTAATTTTACTCAAGTTCCTTTATATTAACAGAGTGGGAAGTGTTTGTTTGAAAATATCAGTTCTATAAAAATGTTCATTTTAGCAAAACTTTGCCAAGAAGGTGTAGAAACTAGGAAATAAGTCTCAGATTTTCAGCACAAAATTAGGTAATAGTCCCTAGGCAGTGAGAGAGAATTCTATGTATTTAAACTGTGGCATCATTTAGTATAGTTTAAACTGAGCCTTATCAATGTTTATTTATAGGCATTTAAAATAAATAAATATGTGTAGCACTGATAAAAAAATCAGTACGTATAAAGAACATGAGGATTCAAAAGGAAATTGAAAAATTGAAGAACTAGTGGAAATTAAAAAGAACAAACTTCCGTGAGACCATTTGGAGAGAGATGTGGGGTGAAATACTACAGAAATGCAAAACACACTGGCTAATTAATTCAAATGCAGCGAAGGAGGTAACTAGCAAGCTTGCTTAGCAGAGTAACCAGGTAATTTTTTTAAATGTAAGCACAACTACCATACTGAAAAGGATAGTATGCAGAAATGCTTTCCCACTGAGGATTTTTCTCAGTTAAAAGATGAAATTAGGAGAGCGATACATTGTCTTTGGCCTGAGTGCACAGGAGCACACAGGACCCTCAGATTGATCTAATCAACTCATGAGTCATCAGGTCCCTTTCATCCAGTTCTGTTTCAATAACTTCAAGAAACCAAAGTTATTAATTAAGAGAAGACCTAGTCAGAAAGATTATTTTTTAGCCCAGGGAGGAAGAGGTACACTATTGATCTTCAAGAAAATGTAGCCAATGATAGATGTCAGCTATAGATATCATTATTAAGAGTAGACTAAGAAAAATAAAGCCCTCAGTGTAAAGGATTTATATTAACTGTAGAAAGAGATTCTTGACAGTGGGAAATTAATTATCAAAATCGATCATTATAATGCCTTTTAAAAAAATTTAAATACTGGTTGTCCAGTAACTTAAGTGGCAAGATATCTTAAGATAATATATTATAATTCTAGGATTTCATAACCCTATGATTCTTTTTATTTCAGATTTTAAAATAAGTTATTCTGTTTAGTCATAAAATATTCTATTCCTTGAAAGTAGGGTAGCAATTTTAATATTTCCAACATATTTGGCAAAAAATAAAACTGGATTGTTGGCATTTTTCCTTGCAGTTATGTTGTATATCTTTAAAGTTGTCCAGAGTGTAGTAATTTTACTATAAAAAGCCTCAATTTTCAGAGTCAAAAAAAAAAAAAAAGGAAAAATACATGTCCTCAGGAATACTTTAGAAATAGGTTTACAATCCCTTAGGGAGTAAATGCCTCTCAAACTTTATCTTTTCTTAAAAGAATCTTCAATCTACAATATTTGCTTTCCCATGCTTTAGAAAATATTTGTGTACAATTCTTCTGTTTAAACAAGCAGTAAGTGTTGGTCAAATAATCCATATATGGAACATTTCCTGATGTTCTGCATTAAATGAAATCCTCTACAGCTCTCAAGCAGTAATTACAAAATAAGAAAATGAAAAAGTGAAATGTATTTTCTACTGTGATAAGAAGGGCAGGTTTGCTGTGTAGTTGTTGTATTCAATCAGCCAAAGACACAGTCTGTCTCAGAAAGATGAGTCAGGGGAAACCTGTGGGTTTCCAGTGAGCAGGTGCTGACTCCGCCCCAGGACGCCGCAAGGGCCGTGATATCGTGGCTGTAAGGTAGGACCAAGTTCAAAAGAACTCTTAGGATCAAGTTCACAATTTTAAAGATTGTCCTACAACTTTTTTGTTTATAAACCAGAGTTGTTTTAAAATATAGTCCTTGTATTTAGGATTGCAAATTTACAAGAATATGTTTCTAAGTAAAGGGAACATAATTCTTCAAAAAGCCGTTGAACTGAAGTTGTGATAGGTCGTATGATCAGTGCTGATACATAATTTTTACCTTAGAATCAATTTCTGCGGACATACATGACCAGTCTAGCTCCCAAGCGACCTTTTCCATTGTGTGTAAGAAAAATGCCCCCAGATGAGCTGTCTGTAATTGAATTCATCTTTTTTTAAATGCCACTGGTTAACTGCCATTGCCCCTGATGTATTTCTTTTGTAGCCTGATTCCCTTATTTAACATCTGAAAGATTTCCTTTTGACATTACTTCCATTCTTTTTATTCAAAGTATAATTGAAAAAGGTATTTAGTATTAAAATTATGTTCCTCTAGCAAGGACTTTCCAGAAATAATCTACTTACAAAAAAAGAGCAGCAATTAACTGCCTTTAGTGTAAGGGTGTGAGTGTGTAAAAGTATGCTGTGTAAAACGTTTGCATGAGATACTTCACATCATGTAAGCTTTCCCATATTCATGATATGAACAGTATAGAAATCTTATTTCTTGTGATTTCTCCATTAGGAATGTAAAGAGATTGTTACCCATATCCAGTCTCCTTTCCATATTGAAATGCATGGCTCTAAATCTTCAGCATATTTTTACCCCTTTCCTCTGGAGTTATTTAAAATTTGTCCTGTTATACTGAAACCTAGATAAACTACTGAGCCAGATTATTTCTGTAATTGGTGTTTAATTGCTGTATAACATTGGTTGAGACCACATTTTTATTTTAACTTTTTTTCTTTCAAAATTATTCTCTGATCATTGTGGTTCTATAATGAAAACACTGAGAAGAAAATCTGATGAATTCTGGTGTGACTTTTTCTTTTTTAAAAGCCTCCAATAAAGGTTGGAGAACTATAAAGAAAAATGTCGTCATTTTGCTAACAAATCATTTTTTGGTGACCATGGAGGTAGAGAATGAATCATTTTGTTTGGCTTCATAGTATGATTGTGCACCAAAGCATAAAGGAAGTAAATGATTTTTAACATTGTCACAAAATTATAAAGCTGGATGGTTTGACTGTTAGTCAATTATACAATTCTTTGAAAATCTTATGGCATTTTTATAATCTACTCAGTGTTTTATTTGCATAATTATTCATATATGTTGAACCATATGTGATTCTGATACTGTATTTCTTTCCAGGATTAACATTTGTGTAATATGTGGCCAACTCTGATTTGTACACCATATGATTATTGTAATTTTACTGGTATTTCCACCTTTAATTGCAATTCTGTTATCATGCCTCTGGCTTCAATGGTCTGAAGCATGTCCACATAATGCCAGTATTGTATGAAAAAAACTAAAAGACGGACCTAAGAAACTCTAAAAAATCCAAATTTCAAAGGGAAATTGCTCTCAAAGACATGTGTATTTATTTTAAATTCAAAAAATTCTTTTGAATTTATTATTGCTTGTTCTTTTTCATTTTTTTATTGTAGACAATCCTAAGTGACTGTCTCATGGGAGAATTCATGTATGTGCTTGCATTTCTGTAACCTGATCGTGCACTCAGCGGTTGGAACAGGTCTCCAGTGCTAAGAAAATAACCAAAACCAATATATTAATTCTTACATCTTGGTTTATGTTGCCAACTGGATATGATGTAATGCATAACTCTACCCAGTAAATAAACTGGTTATCTTTTGTTCATTTCATCTATGTGACCTCTTTATCATTTTGAGCAATTTTTCTGTATATCACTGATTTGTAATGACAAAAAAGTTTATGAATATCTACATGATTTATATATTCAAAGTGAGCACATATTTAAACTAAAAACTACAGGCTTTGCATTGACGTTTCTACACATTTGTCATTAAGAAATGTGTATCACCTTTGCCCATCTCCATTCACCATCTCTCCTTTTTAATCTTTTCTAAAAGGTTATTTTGGGACAAGGCTACATTTTGGAGAATTAGATTAGGAATGTACCAGCATGAAAGAAATACCTGTTCTAAAAAAGGGAAACATTTTAATGAAAGAAACATGATTTTAGTGAAGGGAGAAAAGTTTGTATGCTTTATTTGGGGAGACAAGTAGTCTTTGTTCTCTTTCATAGGAAGAAACTGCAGAGCCCCACGACTTTGAGGAAGGTTAATTTACCAGCTCCTTCTTCAAATATGTGTTGTAGTAGCAAATTGGCTGCTTTGGGAGTCATCTGCTCTGACTTGATTTTTTTTTTTTTAGGAGAGACAAGGTGGAAAACCAGGCAGACTTGGACTTCCATGAGGTTACAATGAATTGAAACTCGAACGCATTCCTCATTATAATCCACCACAGGCACCACAACAGTCCCAGCTAAAGGTGCCCGCGTGCCTGTTATAAAAGCATAAACTTTCCTCCAGATAGTCACATAAGATAATATTGCCAGTGTCAAAAGTAAACACAATTTAGAATATAATTTAAATGTAGAAAGAAATGCAAAGATAAATCATCATTCTAGTGACATCCTGTTAAATAGTAAAAAAATGTTGCAACTGTCTACATAATTTGTGAGACCCAGTGAAATTTAAATTGTGGATCTCCTTGTTCAACAATTATGAATAACTTCAGCCCTGGCTGGGCAGTTCAGTTAGAGTGTTGTCCCAATTTGCCAAGGCTGTGGGTTTCAAACTCGAGTCAGGGCACATAAAAGAATCAACCAAGGAATGCATAAATAAGAGCAACAGATTGATGCCTCTCTCTCTCCCTATCTCTTAAATAAATAAATAAATAAATAAATAAAACAAAAAGACTTTCAAGATGGCGACAGTAGAGCGTTAAACTGGGCAGGGAGCTCTGAGCAGAAGCCCTGTGTGACTGCAGAGGTGTGCGAGCCTGTGAAGCCAGCCTCGTCCCCAGGCTATGCTGAAATGATGCTTTAGGACCTCAACACTGAATGTAGCTATCCAGAGTCTGGGTTTTATTTTTAACAGAATGGATTTCCCAGTTTCTGTGCTTAGATGAAAAAATGTGTTTATGATCTGGGAAAATGAATGCTATTATTATAAATGAAATAATGTTATTACTTCGAAGAGTTAATAAAGTTAAATCTTGCAATACTTGCAATCTTGCAATATTCCAATGCAGCCATTTCAACTCAAAATTTCTAAAATCTCACATATGTACCAAGTTTGTACAAACATTTTAAAAATCATTTAAAGAAATCTCCAAATTACCAGCAGTAGCCATGGCTGGTGCAGCTCAGTGGATCAAGCCCTGGCCTGTGAACCAGGAGGTCGCTGGTTTGATACCTGACGTGTCTGGATTTCAGTCTGGGTGCCCAGTTGGGGGTGAATGAGAGGCAACCAAAGGATGTTTCTCTCCCTCTGTCTCTCCCCTTCTCTCCAATAATAAATAAATAAAATCTTTATTTTTTAAAAGAATATTTATTTATTTTTAGAAAAGGGAATGGAGGGAGAAAGAGAGGGAGAGAAACATCAATGTATGGTTGCTTCTCAAGTGTCCCCTACCAAGAACCTGGCCCACAACCCAGGCATGTGCTCCAACTGGGAATCAAACCGGTGATCCTTTGCCTCACAGGCCAGCACTCAATCCACTGAGCCACACCAGCCAGGGCAATAAATAAAATCCTTAAGAAATGTCAGCAGTAAACATTTTAGTTAGTGTATATTAAAGTAAAACTAAGAACCCTGCTGATACCTTAATAACTTGACTTCCTCTGATACTGTACATTATTAATAATGTCAGTCAAATGTTACAGGACGATTTACCTCATTTAAAAGAGCTTTTAGCCCAAGATTAATAAGTGATTCATATCAACATATTTCAAAAGAAAGGAGAAAGGAATCATCACATTGAAATCCACTGACCCTGAAAACCTGGGCTCTCATGTTACAGGAAGCCACTCTATATATTTGAGAAAAAGAACATGTATTTTTCTTTGTTTTTGATAATGTAACTGGAAACCTATGGAAATGGTTAGCTGCAAAAAAAGCAAAGAATTTGTGGGAGGGACCCAAGGTGGGGGCAGTCATATTCCTCAGTAGGTGAGTATCTTTTTATATTTCCTGTTTCTATTCAAAAATAGAAATATGGGCTCTCGAGAATTTCAAAGTGAGGTCGGAAATAAAAATTAGCACAAATTCTAGAGAAATAATTGTTCTAAGACAGCCTATGTCACCAGAAGTGTTTTTAAAAGCATAGAATTTGGGGCAAATTTTAGCCTTGGCACTTAATTGTTCTGAGACTTTGGAAAGGTGGTACGTAACCTGTCCAAACTTCAGTGGTGTCATTTTAAAAATGATAAAAATGACTACCAGAAAAGGTTGTTGCAAAGATTAAGTGAAACAACATACATAAGATCTTTCAAACATATGTTCAAAGGTATTCTTTCAGTGTTTAGCCTTTTGTAGCCAAAGTTATTTTTAGTAACACATAAGCTAGACTATTGGAGTCCTATATGGATCAAATTCATTCACTCACTTATACATGTAATAATTCACAAATATTTATCAAAAACCCATCTTGCCCTGGCTGTTGTAGCTCAGTGGATTGAGTGTGCCTGCCTGTGGGCAAACAGTCACAGGTTTTGATTCCCAGTCAGGGCACATGCCTGGGCTGCAGGCCAGGTCCCCAATAGGGGGCGTGTGAGAAGCAACCACATACTGATGTTTCTCTCCCCTTCCCCTCTAAAAATAAATAAAATCTTAAAAAAAAAAAAAAAGAATGTATTTTGTGCCAGATATAGCTCTAGGGAATTAAGACACATCAGAGAACAAAACAAAAAAAGGTTCATTCCTTTTTGAAGTTTGTATTATACGTAGCAATGAGGGAAAATACAAAAAAATAGTAAGCATATGTATGTAAATACCACAGTATATTAGACAATGAAACTTTTATGGAAAAAAAAGTAGAACAGGAAAAAGGGATTGTACTGGGGTGGGGTGGGGAGGAAGTGAAGCATTGCAAGATTACACAGAGTGGTCTGGACCTTACTAGAAAGAAGGAAGATGAAAATTATCCCGCTCACATCATGACTGCTTCAATTTTTAAAATCATTAAATTACACACTTGTTCAAATTTTTAGAAGTTACTCATCTAAAAACACCAAACAGTGATTCACATTAAACAATAGCATTTTCAGAAACTTGTCTTTTAAAATGTTCTAATAATCTGGAGTAATAATTGTAAAATATGCATATATTTTATTTCATGTCAATATTACTTTAAACTGATAAGAACAAATACTACACTTGATCTTGGCCAAAAGGCCGAGAAGCAATTATGTCAATATTGCTTTAAAATTTTCAGCATTTATTTTATAAACAGGTATCATGTTTTCTTGGAGCTTTAGGACATGCCCATTTATACTTCTCTAATAAAAATTTTAGTAAAATAATTTTATTTAATAGTCTTAATTGATAGCTGTCAATTCGAATGAACTTGGAATTGTATAAATAATTTTTAAAGTAACTCATAATCTTGTTTTTCAATACAGGGTGGAACAAAAGTAGGTTTACAGTGGTTCATATGGAAAATAATATTTTTGCTCCACCCTGTATATAGTTAGAAGCTAAGCTATATTTTCTTCTAGTCCTTAATTCCAGCTCTCCTTCCTTTAAATGTGTGTTCACAAACTTTCTTCCTAATACAAAGGTAAGAAACATATCACACTGCTAAGCTTTACATCAGCTTGCTGCTGAGCAGAACCATTTTTCTTTAGATGTGTATAGATTCAGACTTCAAGCTTTGCTGTTTCAGTAAAATTGACAGAAAGTAATATATATTTAAAGCTCTGCCTTTTTTTTTAGTCTCATGAATAGTTGTCCTAATCTTGGGTAACTGAGTCTATTAGAAAATAAAGGCCATGTTACTAAATATATGTAATGCGGAAAGACCTTCATCAAATTACCTGCCTAGGTAAGTATGCATACTTAATATCAAACAAAGATGAAAATAAAATTGAACTGATGAAAATATTACCTATTGAAAGTCTATCTCCTTTGAGGAGTTCTTTAATGTCACTTCTTTCCAGCAGATGCAAAAATAAAGCCGGCTTGAATTTGGGTATAATTATGATAATGTGATTTTAATTACACCAAACCAGTCAAAGGTTGTCCTTTAAAGTGTGCTTTATCTGGAACACGGCTGTTCTTTGGACTGGACGATGGCAGCCTTTATCTGTAATAGCATTGGATTTCTACCTCTGATGATTGGTGGGGGAAACAAGATTTTTCAGAAATACTTCTTAGAAACACATTCTTATTGGATGTGAAATATAACAAAGTCCACATTTGTATATATCACGGACAGTCCTGTACAGTTTCTATACATTTTTAAGGACATATGCATAACATTTAAAGGATATGTTATTGCTTAGTATTATCCATTAGAACTTTGAAAGTGAAATCAGATCTGGGAAATGGAATAACTCAGTGAGTTCCAGTGATTCCAATATGTAAGTATCAATCTGTTCTTGTTCTCTTGGTAATAACTTTACATATGACTATTAAAACTGCAGTGTTTCTTTACAAACAATTTAGTTACTACAGAAACTCATGTAGCAGGTCATAGATCAACATTTATTGACCATATACTACATACATCAGCAGAATTCCAAAAATTCCTATATAAGGTCAACCAATTGAGTAAAAGAATACCAACTAGCAAATATGAAGAACTGGAAGAGGTGTGGAAGGTGGAAATAATGGCA